TTACAGTCGCGTTAGTTGTTGAAAGGACAGAAATAATTCCATATATTGTGTGTATTTATATGTGTGTGTGTGTGTGTGTGTATATATGTATATATGTATGTATGTGTATATATGTAAACCGTGCTGAGAATGACTTTATATCAGGCTTCCGTAGCTCCACTGCAGTCAGCCGTCTTGGTGAAGGAAACAACACAGAAGAAGAAGAAGGAGGAGGATTCACTTCCGCCCAGCGGTGTGTCGCCACAGTGCAGGTGTGCGTTCAGCACAGCTAGCCGCGCTGATTATCATCACCTCCACTGCTACAAAAACATTACTAAATGCTATCTTGTAACAGCATCTTAACTTACTGATCTTTCCTCACTGTTTTTCCTACCCGGCTCTGCGCTGAGTGACTTCGGTTGATTTAAAACTTTGATAAAACAACGCTGGAGCTATAAGGCTAACTAGCACTAGCTAAAGCAAGCTAGCGCTACCAAACAGAGCCAAGATGGACGAAGCTGCTGCAGCTGCTGCAGTCCAAGAGGACGGAGCAGAGGAGACAGCCCGTAATGGAGACACAGAGTCTGAAAACAACGACGGTACGACGGCTGAGGACCTCGCTGATGGTAAGTACACAGTAGCCGTCACTTACTAATCGTTAACTCTCAGTGCACCGTCAGTGTGTTTGACCTCCTACACGAGCTGCAGCGGAGGGACACCAAACACTTCTGGCTAAATAACAACCCTCATAACCCTAACAGATAGCACTAAGTTGCATTGTTGCACACCCAAGCCTGGCCTCCTGGTCATTGAGTGTTAATGGATGCTCAGTGCTGTTTATTGAGCGAAAGCAGCAACAGTCCTAGACACAGTTAACACATAACCATATCGAAATGAATTAAAAAGTGTCGACAGTATATTTATATAGAAAGGCTGACCTTCAATTATTAGGGGTTTTTCTGAGCCACAAGATATTTAGCAAATTGAATATTGTCTTTATTTAATTTGTAGGTATTTGAAGTGTGATGGGACACAAAAAGCACAGTGTTATTAATGCTAAATGCAATGTAGACAATACAGAAGCTGCATGTATGATCTGATGCTGCAGGTTCAATCGAGTCCAACCTGTCTGAGGGTGACGGCTACTTAAAGGGAGAACATTGTCAGGAGTGCTACTCAGTATACTTGACAAAAATCCATGTTAAACTGATGCTTTCATCAGAATAACATAGCTGTGTGTTATGACCTTAAGTCATTTTCATTTACCGGGTTGAACCAGTGTATTTTAGATTGGGATTGCTGGTCGTGGTGTTAACACTGAAGAGTCTCATGCAAAATCTACTCATATGAACTGACAGTCAATTAACGCAGCTCACCTTATCAGCGTCAACTAATTCATTGATAGATCACGACATTTTAATAGTGCAACTCAGAAAGTTGGCAAGAGATAATAGGCCACCATTTGGGACGCAGACAATGAACGCCAAATGCAGAAGAGCAGAATAGGGAAGAATATATATATTATAACCCGGAACCTGTAATAACAGCTACTCTCAATAAACTATTTTAATTAACAAAAACATCTCACTAATATATTCAAATTTCTGACTTTATGGAACCAATTTCTGCACTTCCTTGTGAAAAATCTAAAACAAACACTTGTGTTATGCTTTGTCATGGTATTAAATTGGCTTCATTGACCTGCAGAAACAAAACCTTTCCTGATAATGCAGCTCATACTGTATCCAGGCACTTCTTGTGTGTGAGAGAATTAACATACAATGCAACATAAGAATGCTACTGTCCCCTTTAGATCTTATTTTGACAATTCATGGTATAGTGCACGTGGACAACCCACAGATGATTTAGAACTACATAAATTAAATTGTTATTCTGATTGTTCTGTTGAACTGGGGGGAGGGGGTTTGTTTCTCTGCAGCATGGCAATGAAAAACAAAAAAGCATTCATTGTTGTTCAAAAGAGAAGAATAGGGCGTTTATAATAAGGCAACAGACTACAATGTTCTCTTCTTTAGCTGCTTGCATTCAAAGTAGGGCTGCGACAAACAGTTATTTTCATTATCAATGTGCCGACTTTTTCTCAATTAAATAATTGGTTTGGTTTGGTTAATAAAAAATCAGATAGTGGTAAAATCTTGTTAATTGTTTCCCAAAGCTGACGTCACCAAAGGTCTTGTTTTTTCACACAAACATACTTTTTTTTTTCCTGAAATGTTCTGAATTTGGTAATTCTTTTAATTAAAAAAATACTTTTTAATTTAATAGTTGACAACTAACTCCAGCTATAACTCCAAGCATATTGCATACTTAACTTTGCTGTGTCAAAAACATGACTGTTAAGTGTCAATTGGAGGCAGGATCAGAATAGCTTGAATGTTGGTGCTTCCTCTTGGTGTAATGATACCTGAGTAAAGTATTCTAGATGCGAAGGGCGTTACCTGCTAATAATTAACTATTATCAAAAACCAAAGGATTGAACTTTACAAAAGGCATTTGGCTAAAGCACACAAGTATTGTCTTTTATGGGTAATGTTGTATTTCCAGAACCAATCTTTTCTCTGATTATACTGTAAACTCTAATCCTATTAAAAATAAAGACATGATTTGCACCTGTGTTTTTGTGATTGTGTGTTTTTTGTTTTTTTGTTATTTTGTTTTCCTGTCTTTTCTTTCTCTGGAAATGGGAGTGGCTTTGACTTCCTATTCTCCCCTTTCTATTTTTAGGGGTTGGGGTTTTCTGCTGTCGGGATTGTGGAGAAGCCTTTAGAGAGGAGGCAGCCTACTTGGAGCATCGCCGTCAGCACCCCAAGGAGAGCGTGTTTTTAGACAACCAGTTGGATGGCTTACATGACGCAGAAAAGGACAGCGGAACAGCTCATTTCTGTACTTTATGTTCACTCTCATTTGTTGAACCAAGTGAGTTCCTCTCGCACATGGAGAAGAACCACGGTCAAAGCTCCCAAAAGGATTCTAGCATTCAAATAAATTCTGGGATGACGAAGCAGCAAACCTATGAATGTCCAGACTGTGGGAAATGTTACGGTGTGATTGGACACTTTCTCAACCACCAGCGCTCACACAGACAAGCCTCCAAGTCAGTTTTTCATGACCTCGAACATTTGAAAAAGAAGTCGTTTCAGTGCGAGTCTTGTGGGCGGAATTATTCTCGCGCTTCAGCTCTTGATGCGCACCGCCGTTGTCATGAGGAAAAGTTAGTCAAGTCACGAAACAGGAGTTCAGGAGATGCATTTCACACTGAGGAGTCAGTAGTTGAAGCCAAGCCCAGTGAAAACCAGACAGATGATACTCCTGAAAAAGCTTTCAAGTGTTCATGCGGTAAAGCTTTTACTGCTCTTATGCGCCTTAAAACCCATCAGCGATTTAGCCGCAACAGTCAGTGCTCTCCTGAAGAAATGAAAGAAAAACCAAAGAAAAGCAGCAATGAGTTTTACTGTAGTGAGTGTAACAAGGCTTTCAATGGCCATATCGCCCTATTCAACCATCAGCGATGGCATGCTAACCACTCAAACGATTCAGCGAAAAGGTTCCCTTGTGAGGAATGTGGAAAAGTATTTATGACTCTAACCTTCTACTACAGACATCAGCGCACGGCACACAGCGACGAGACCCCAGCAAAGTCGTTTCTTCATCAAGTATGTCAGCTACAGAAGAAGGCGTTTGAATGTAAAGATTGTGGGCTCAGGTTTTCCAGGGCCTCAGCGCTTCACTCACATCAGCTTCATCATACGGATGTTTTCAAAGAAACAGAGAAGGAAGCCCAGCTGCGCACCTCTCTGTTACCTCAACAGAAAGCTTCGGAAGGCAAAACAAAAGAGACTGAGCAGGAACAAGTGGAAGCTGAGAATATGCTTCCTACCAGTATGGCTGAAGAAGACTCGCATGTAAATGAGATTGATGAAGACATGGAGAGTTATGAACCCGGGGACTTTAATGTACAAGTGATCAGTGCAAGTGAATCTGAGGACGAGCCCGTTCAAGACCCGAATCCTGATCTTGAGCTGCTGTGTGAATCGGATCAGGAAGTAAGGGATGACGACGACACTGGGATTTCCCCCAGTAGCACTGTTTTAAAACCAGAGATGGATTTGAAAATTGTACAGATTGACTTTGAGCAAGCCGACATGCCGTGTGCACTGGTAGCGAGGGAGGCCGAGAATATAACGACAGGGGAAAGATTCGATTGTCCAGAGTGTTACCGTTGGTTTTCTAGTGCTTCATCACTGCGAGTTCACAGAATGTGGCATGGCGTTCATAAGAGAAGACAACAGACTCAAGGTCAGTCAGTGGCAGTTTACACATATGACACGTGTGGCCACGAAGCCAGTAGTTATGCAGCACACTGCAGTCACATACAACAACACAACAATGAAAACACAAGCAGTGATGTATTGTACCAGGCAGAGGGATTGGAGAAGAAAATATTTACATGCAATGAGTGTGGTAAATGCTTCTCACGTTTGTCTGCTTTTGTCTCTCATCAGTTGCATCATCCCAAAAGAAAACCGTTCCAATGTCCAGATTGCATGATGTCTTATTCGTATGCAGCTAGCTTGTTTAACCATATGAAAAACTGCTCCGCACAAAAGAAAGAGAATATTTCAGTCACTAAGAAAGAGTACAATCCAAAGAAAACTCTTCTAGGCCCAAAGATTTATCATTGTGAACAATGTGGGAAGGGTTTTTGGTCTCTAGGAGCTTTCTCCCACCACAAGCAAAGTCAGTCTCAGTGTGCAGATTTGAGACTAAGAAAAGGGGTTGCAGGATCTCTGCATTCTGCTAATAGAAACCCACGCTCCACTGTTAAGGTTGCATGTCCAGTGTGTGGTAGAAAGTTCCGTCACAAGGGCATTATGGCCTTGCACATGCGAAAACATGAAAACGGAAATCATAAATGTGACCTCTGCAACAGGTCGTTCCGACTTTTTTCCAGCCTCCTCAGACACCAGGTTGTGCATAGTGACCAGTTACTCCCACCGCCGAGTAAGTCTTTTCAGCATCAGGTTGAGCAGTTGAAAAAGAACACATACAGCTGTCCCGACTGTGGGAAGTTGTTTTCACGGGCCAAAGCACTTCAGTTTCACATGAAAAGCCATGGGTATGAGAGCGGGCACTCGCCTTCATCTCCTAGATCCACTGTCAAGCTTGAGGATCTCCAGTGTGCAACATGCCTCGCACATTTCAACAACAAGGCCTCCTTGAGGGCTCATCAAAAACTTTGCATTAAAAGAGACAGTCAAGCAGTTAATTGTAAGACAGAACCCTCAGAAAATAATGATAGTCTAACATTACACGAGTATAGTATGGATGTCAGCACACAGGAAAACTCTGAGCAAATTACAGTTAATACTGAAGTAAAGACGGAAATGGACAGTGGGGAGCTAAATATGGAAAATCAATCAGGTGGAAACTTAGAAAACCCATGTACAACCAATTTGAAATACAAATGCAAAAAGTGTGACAGAAGCTTTTCGGTGGTTGGAGCTTTGAATTTTCATAAAAGAATCCATGCTGAGGGTTACAAAACTGTAGCAAAAGGCAAATTGGCCATGTCTGTAATGCTAAAGAAACCTAAACAGGAAGAGCCAAGTAAAGGACTATTTCACTGCTCAGAATGTGGGAGGCGATTTATGTCCAACTCAGCCCTCGGCTCCCACAAAAGATGGCACAAAGAAGATACAAAATCTCTTGGCCACAAGACAGAGGGTGGACCTTTTCAGTGCCACAAATGTGGCAAACAGTTTTTTAACCATTGTGTTCTCCAACGCCACCAGATGTTTAATTCTCAGTGTCAAACCAAAACTGAGCCAGAGCCCGAGTCAAATAAAAGCGCAAAGAGCAGCCGCCCACTGGAGACCATCTCATGTCCACAATGTGACGAAACATTTGTGCAAGGTTCACTTCTAGCTGCCCACTGTGAAAAAGAGCACAGTAACACTCTGGAAGCTGCAGAACATCAAGGCGACAGGCTCAGCTCTGTTGACAAGGTTGATGTAAACTTTAATGTGAGTGAGTCCACGTCAACGACGCCGAAGCCAAAAGCTCACCAGTGTCCCCTCTGCTCTATGACCTTTGCTAAAGCAAGAGGTCTGCGCGCTCACAAATGGCAGGCCCACTCAAGGAGGACGAAAGGCAAAACTATGTTTCCTTTGAGTATTAAAAAGGAGTCCGTTGCCTCAAGCACTGAATTCAAAAAGACAGAAAATGTACCAGCTGTAGACGGCGCCCCAGTGACAGTGAAAAAAAGCCCTGTCGGCAGAAGAAAGAAGAATCCGCAGGTCAGATCAGAACCCCCACCGGTAAAACCTGTTACATGCCTTGATTGTGGGAAGCAGTGCAGTTCTGCGGGGGCCCTCCTTGACCATAAGAAAGTATGCCTGGAGGTAAAACACGAGTCTAAACAGGAGATTCAAAGTCCTGAAAACACAGCCGATGTATCCCCGCCTCCTAGCCGCCTGTCGGAGCATACAGCCAAATGCCTTTTCAAGTGTGACAAGTGTGGAAAGGCTTTCCAAACAGAGGAACAATTAGGAGCCCATAAGACTAAGGCGAGGAGCCGCCCTTATTGTTGCGCCCTGTGCTGCCACGGCTTTTGGACCGAGAATCAGCTGCAGCAACACCTCGCCTGGCACGATGAAGTCCGCTGTCGTCTCCCCAATGAGGTTCGCTATAGGCTCAGCGCTGCTATGACCTCGAATCTTTTAAAACCCAACGTGCCCTCTGCCGACAGCAGAGGGAAGTCCTTTCCGTGCTCTACACTGAACCAACCAACACTTAACCCAGACAGCCAGTCGCAAAGTAACCATAAGTGCCAGCATTGTGGCAAAGCCTTTCTTTCACCAACTGCGTTACAAAAACACGAGACTCAGCACTGCAACAATGACTCGTATCATTGCTCCATCTGCCCGCGGACCTTCAGTGAAATACAGGACCTTATCGATCATCACCAGGAATGTATCGGTGACTTACAAAAGGCCGAGTGATGCCCTTGCTGCTGTCTCATCTGGAGATACCAATGTCCTTACTTGCCTTGAATGTGGAACTACTTTTTGTCAAGAAACTAATTTGCACCAGCACCATTTTGAACATGCCCGTGGAGTGTACAGCATTAGACTAAACAACCTGAAAAGGATTGAAATTAAAACACTGTAGATTGTGGATTTTTCTTTGTTTGTTTTTTGTGGTTTTTTTTTTTTTGGTTGCCAAACTACTTAATTGTGTTAAGCTTCAAAATACCTTGTTAGACCTTTTTTGTTTAGGCTAAGTAGAAACAGGCTTTCCGTCGTATATTAGTTGAGATTCCTTATATTTAAAAAAAGCAGTTTGATTCTATTACTCTTCTCAGGCTTTCCTTTACACTGGATTAGAGTATGTACAAATGTTAAAGAATAACCCCTTTTTTTTGAAGCTTCAGTTGAGATATCACAAATGTATAGTTTTGAGCCACGATTTGATTTGTTCTTGTTTTGAATAGACCTGTTATGAATGTCAGCTGAACCTTGTTAATGTCTCTTAGCGGATCACTGGCAGAAGTTATGGTAGTTCATATCTAGATATATCAACAAAAAAGATTTAGAAACAGTTATGCATGTACATGTTTGTCCTCATGCATTTAATAATTCCCTGAAAAATATGCTCTTGACACTGTTTATTGCAAAGGACATCAAAATAATTCTGCACAACAAATATACTAATTTTGCTGGTGTTAGAAATACCTGAGGTTTGGCTGAATGAGGACCTATTTGCAGAGAAAATAAGATATATGAAGTAAATGTGCACTGTTTGTTAAAAATGTCCTGATGTTGAACTGTACAACCAGTTGCTACCATAAAACTTTTCAAATCAAGTAATTGTATGTTACGTACAATACTTTTTGCATTAATTGATGTATAAGCTCCCATGTTCTTTCCTTTTCACTGTTATAATTTTATGTTGTGGGAAGATTATTCATTACTTAAACTGAAATAGCGCTACGTAAGATAGTTGTTAGTTTACATGCCACTTGTGTAGTGGGAAAAAAGTATTTGTAGTGTTAAGAGATATTACTTGGCTATATTAATTTATGAAAATCTTCCCTCTGACCAATATACCGTTTGACTACTTGTTTAATTTGCTGTTTCTGAAACAATGAAGACTACATTCTCTAAAATTGCAAATAAATTGATTTTCTTCCGTGAATTATTGGGTTGTGTGATTAATTCCGAATCACTGTTTCTTGATCAGAACTAATTAGTACTGATCATGTATTTGGTTTTTATCAGGGCATGTTGATTACATTTAATAATACAACTTTTAATTAGAAAGCCATAGCCAGTCATTACTACAGTACTACAGCACATTAGTCTTTATATTGAGCTAGATAGTTAATTACTGCATTAAAAACTTAATTTGCCAATTAATAATTCTATTTACTTATTCTGTCCTTGAGTGAATTATTCAAAACTTAATTGTAACAAGACTTTTAAATTATTGATCACTCCATTTACTAACTTACTGCTTATAAATGATCTCTCAATGAATAGTTTTCCTGCTTTATTATTTAGAATTTGTTTTATTTAATTGAAAGATCTTTTCTTAAATTAAATATATGTAAGCAATGTCACACTTAAACAAGCCTGACCCACAGACCCACAGACCCACAGCTGTAGTACCACAACTGTCTCTCCAGGCTCCATAGATACGTCACAGATAATCTAGTTGCTTTACAGACAGGATCAACAAGACCAAAAAATGTTTAATGTGTAATGCTCTGAGGGTTGTAAAATGCTTTTAGAATAGGGTTAACACTTGACTTTTAATTGCCCCACATCTGTGAACGAAGAGAAGAGCCACAACTTAAACTTGTAAGTTTTCACTGCTGCAGTAACATTGGTAACTTTAGCAGTAGTAACCAGACTGCAACATTTCAGCTGAGACATTAGTTCTTTAATAAAATAAGTTTATTTTATACACTCAAAATAACTAACATATATGAACTGACAATATTTTACTTCTAAATATCTAAATTGAACCTTTTCTTCTTTCGTAGGCAAACGGTGCAGTCTTACATGCAAGGATTGTGGACTGACGTTTACACACCTGAAAGTCTACGAGACTCACCTGCACCAGCATGCCCTGGAGGAGGAAGAAGAAGAGGAGG